TGGCTCCATACTGAGGACAAGATGACCACCGGCCAGAAAGAATTAGCAACAAGAAACTCTGAGTATGAACGGATCAAGAATCTATCGCCCAAAAAAATATATAGGAGTAAACGGAGATGTATTGGGCACACGCTGAGGACAGCATTGAATGATATCGCACGCAATGCAGGCCACCGCTTGAGTGTAATCTGAATGGAAAACGACGAGTGGGACGTACGAGTTTGACATGCAGGAGATTGGATGATGAGGAGATGAAGGATTATGAGCAATCGTGGGGTGAGCTAAAAAGGACCACATAAAATAGAAGAGAGTGGAGATGTGTCGATGAAGCTCTATGTTCCACTCAGAGCCCAATAATATCAAACGAGACAATGAAGTTATCGGTCGTTGATCTGTGCCCCTCTTCGACTGGTTATTAGGATCCAAGTAACTACAAAATAAGAAGACTATAGATTGTAGATAATGCAGTTCAAAATCGATTACAGCATCGTCCATTGGATATGCAGTATCGGTATCATTCTTCATTGTCTTTTCCAGCCTTACACTATACGAATCCAGTATTACTTTCCACCAAAACTTTCATTTCACTTTCCCTGTTGAATTCTAACAACTTGGACAGCTACACAGTAATGCCACTCATTCTTTCTTTCAGTCCTTTCCCTTATTACAGTGTCGAAGGTGCTGAAACCTGTAGAAGTAGTAGCTGAACTTTCATTCTTTGCGTTCCGCGTAAAACATAGGGCTTCAAGCTTCACAATTTCAGTAGCAGTAGTGTTGCTTTCACTGATAACCTTCCATCTTTCTGGGTATTACTACCAGCGGGGTTTAAGAATTCACTAACCGCTAATCGAACCTTGAATACTGGTGTGGTTAACAAGTATTCTGCCACTGAACTACTAATCAGGAAGTAGCTAAAACATTTTTACTTTTGGCAACTGCTTTTTCTAAAGTTCTCTTCTTTTTATATCACTATGATGTGGTAGTTTAAAATTTTTTAGTATTTAAACAAATGATCTAGTCTCCTGAATATATGCTATAGGTAGTTTATGGTAGGTAGACCGTAAAATGTAGTCGTATATAACTGATAAAATGCCTTACTTATAAACGCTGCAATATGGAACCATCAAAGATTCCGCTTTCATATTATAATTCCCTTTTCTTTTGGTTTGAATGTACAGACAGATTTCGCCTTCTTTAAATGATCATGTGCCACTCACTGGACACTCTGAAAAGGGATAACACACTTAGTGTACATAAGAGAGAATTTATAGGATTCTGTGATTTAGATTCCACAGCGTGTATCACTTTGCAGCAGGATGTAAAAAGGGGAAGAGAGCATAAACAAACATTACAGTGATACCTTGATTGAGATAGAGAAAGAAACTAACCAACTGATATGAATTTATAAACAGTTTATTGATTCAACTTCTCACATTTCATAAAAATCATAAACAAAAGAAATGAATGTAAACGAAATGTTACTAATAATAGCTAACGGTGATATAAATAAATATAAAAGTGAATGAGAAAATAAACAGAATAGTAACCACTTCGTCTTAGTCACTATTTCAAGACATTGCTGGCTGTCTTCGATCTTAGGTGTCTGGAATCTATCTCCCGTGTTAGGTGGCATAATAGGGTGAGTAATGTTGGGGTTAGGTCAAACTAAAACATGACTTCATCAGTCAATGAAATCCACAACAGTTAGTTAAAGCCAGCCGCCATGTCGGGACGTGTAGATATATTGGTTAGATTCTTCGGGATGGTAAGAAACAATGGCGGCTGGAAACAACTGATGATATAGCTGAAAATTGTTCTCAGTGGATGGCGCAGATGAATCCACTCCTGTGACTTTTCATATCCAATGAAACTCTATTTTTACTTCCATATTACTGCTATTCTTTTTCCCTCAATGACAATGCAGTTTATTATCTGTCTTTTGAACCGCTCTTTACTCTCTTCTCTTGCATTATGCACGGTACATGAAGAGTGGGAACTTGACCTGCTGCACATCTGTGTCAGGTTCTGTGCTGAACCCAGTCCGTCAGTTCAAGATAAACCTTTGCTACTGAGAGCAGTATGGAAATCCATGGCACCTATCACAAGGAAACAAGATCTGGATCTTCAATACTAATGTCGAGCCACTGCTTCTAAATGCTGGAGGGACTTGATGGATCACGAAAAGCCTTTCCAGCAGGCAAATACAGAGTTTTATCAGCAACAACCTTGGTTGACTACTTAAAATTAGATGGCATAAACAACAAAGAAATTTAGTAGGTAGCGGACCAGCCAAGAACCTATCACCTAGTAAATATGCAGAAGGAAATGGAGGTAGGTTGAGCATACGCTGAGGACGCGTAGGAATGACTCTACGCGACAGGAAGGCCCTCATTTGGAATTGGAATATGAAATGCAGGAGATAATGTGAGGAAGATCTTAGGCAATGTTGGAGTCAGATGAAAAAGACTGCAAACAAGACAGTCAAATGTCAGTATTCTGCTGAAATCCTGTGATCCATTCGGAACCCAAAGCAATAAAGAACCCAAAAGAATAATAACTTAAAGTACCGTAAAGCTTAGCAATAGAATATAAAAAGAATTTAGGCATATTTACGTCGATATTTTGTTTTCCGATTTGAGCTTGTAAACAAAAGTGTTCTTTACTGTTGACTTATGATGTTTTGTAAATTTCTGACAGATGGACTACTTATCCATAAAGCAGTTGAAATCACCAGTCACATTCTTAATTGTCACCATCTTTTGACTGAGTTCTACACCAATTATTACTGCGTGGAGCTGTGGATTGCAGCTTGGCAGATACGAATCAGACATACATTTCGAAAGAACTACTCTATTTCGTCAATTAACATGCTCAAATGTTAACTAGTCATCCCTAGGTGCCATTCAATCCTAATCAATTTCAGACTACATAAGCTGATAGTATAAATGACAAGCCCGCAGGCAACATATACCGCCCATTGTCTATTAAATTGTCGAAAGCATGTATATACATATTTAAATTTCATTTTTGTAGACCAGAAAACAGTGTAGTACTGTTATGATATATCCTTTCCTTAGCATTCAGTGGAATAGAGAAAAGGCATTTGAAAGTGAATGAGCAATAATCAGCTATTCCGCCCATCCCCTAACATATCCAGTTCCACCTACTAAGCAGTGACAGAGTGGCTAGATGAACTCTTCCAACCATTACACAAGAAAGTGGTAAATCTTGGTGTTAAAGACGTCTTTGAATTCATTTCTAACTTACATGATATCAGTGTAAATGCAAAGCGAATGTTATCATTGGATGTCGTATCATTATTGACCAATGTACCACTTAGGGAAACTGTGGAATTCAAATGCCAACAGATACTAGAAAAGTAGTTTGATATCAGAAGTCAAACTTTGGGTTTCAAGGAGCTGTTTCTAAGATGCACTATGAATGTACACTTCGAATTCAGTAACCTTTATTGCAGAAAAATTGATGGTATTGCCATGGATTCTTTATCGGGTGCAATTTCGGCAGATTTCTTCCTTGCTAAGCTTGAAAATGGTCCATTGAAATAAGTAATAGAAAAGAAAAGATTCTTATTTTCCTTACATTGATGATACGTTTATTATTCTTGATTAGAAATTGTAATGATGCACATCCAACGCTTATGTTCACTTGTTAAGAAGAACATGATGGTAGACTACACTTCCTTGATTTCCAATTGAACAGAAGAGCGGATGCTTCGCTCAAGAGGGATGTCTTTGGGAAACCAACATATATAGGACAATATACGCATTTCCTCAATTTGTACCAATCCAATACAAAATCAATTTGGTCAGATACCTCACAAATATAGCAAGAAGGTTCTGTGCATATGACTCCCTAGAAAATGAATTAGGATACATCCCGAATACTCTTGTCCAAATAGGTTATCACAGCAGATTTGTAAGGAGACACATGAACATCAGGTATAATAAACAGAAACCGGCAACGGCTAAAAAGAAACAACTGTTCTTGAAACTGAAATTCATTGGGGACGTGGCTATGGAAGTCGTACATCTAAGATTATCAAGAGTCATAAAACGGACTCATACTGCCGCCACCATTTGTTTCTTATTCTCCAGCCGATCAATTATCATTGCTCAAGTGAAAGACAAGCTGCCTAGCTGTACCACTTCTATTTGTATTTGTAGATTTAGCTGCTCCTGTAGAGAAAGCTACATAAGGCGAACAAAAACAGCCCAATAGACATATTACTGAGCATCTTCCATCATGGTTCGGAAAAGGCCAAGTAAAATCTACAAGAAGATGTATTTTGTCTCATCTGCTCGGTGATAGCAGTCACTAAGTGGACAGACGTCGTGCCTTCAAAGTTATTTATCGCATTCCATCGAACCTTTCGAACGGCATTCGAACCCGTCCTTTCCGCATAGTCGAAGCTATGGGAATTATTTTGAGAGAATAATCCTAGTCTTTGAATACAACAAAAGGAGTTTGTTCTACCTTTGTATCTCTCCCTTGGTCTAGGTAAATTCTAATCCAAACCTTCCCACCTTTTCTTATTTTCTATTTCCCTCGTACTTTTATGATTTTTATTTAAACTCTGATTATCTGTCCACTTCATCTTTAGTATTACATAAACTAATTTATTAGTTGAATTGTTTACATATAGAGATTACTGCCTTAGTTATCCTTATCGCCATCTGCATAAACTCTATGTACTTTTGTTAAGATTAAACTTATTATCATAAAGTGATAAAAATTGACTGTTGGGTTGAAAACACCAGACAGAAACTCAAGCATATATTCCTCGAAGGCTTATAAGCCTAGATTTTTACTTACTGAAAGTAATCTATGTCCAGTTGATGAAATACAATGAAAAAGAAACAAGCAGTCTGTCTACTGCTGTCTAGTTTCCAACGGTATTCAGATTACTGTGGCATCATGAAGAAAAGTCATCACAAATGAACACTAACTAATCTACAGTTTCGTTTTCTTCGTTCTCACAGATAACCGTCGGTTATTTATTGGAAAAAGATTTTTGTCTCAGACAGATAAATTCAAAAGATGCAGAAGATAATTTGGAGGTAAGTACAAAATTAGATTATATTTTCCCGTATACAATTGTAAAACGATAATTATATCGAATTTCTATTTTCGGAAATTCTTTTCCAACCTTTCAAAGAGAAGGTGTTCAAAGAACAAATTCTTCGGTAAAGTATAAAATACAAATACTAAATGCGATATATAACAAAACCTTTTCCTCATATAAGACTGCTTTTAACATCTGGAAACTTTTTAATCAAATCACATTTTTTTAAAAATAAGTTTCATTTGATGCTTATTCTGATACCTTAAATATATCTTTTATAATGCAACAAGCTAATACGACTGGACCTGATGTTTCCAGTCACGTAAATGATCAGATCCTTAACTCTATCACACATCCTAGGTCTCGATGGTGTACCAATCATTTTACTTCAAAAGTGTACTAATCTTTTGTGTCATCCTCTTAAGGAAATCGTCAATGCATCATTTCACAGGAATAAAGTTCCTGTCGCCTAGATAGAAATAGAGGTTATGCATGCAACAAGATGACCTTCTGGGTCAGGTTTAAGGTTAATGCCAATCATCGTCACTTCTTTACTTTTGAAAACTATTAAGGAGCTTCTCTTGCATCTTGCACCCAAAGTAGTTTACATACGAATGCAGTAGAAGCATTTTAGATGCTGCCGTTGTACTCCACCACAATATTCCTTCGAATCTTGAAAAAGGTGCAAAATTTGTTCGAGCTTCCTTTTTAGACTACAGGGCTACTTTTGACTCTATTCCTATGGCACTTTTACTGAACAAAGTGAGTTGAGCATACACTGAACCCTAGGTCACAAAGTGGTTGTCTTCTTATTTTTCGGATAGAAAACAGTATACTGTTTGAAATGGAAAGCAGTCCACTTCTTTGCCAACAGAAACTGGTGTGCCTCAAGTCGTTGTAATCTCTCCACTTCTTTTTTCTTTCATTTTGTATGACCTATATTCTTCCAAAGATAATTTCTTTAGGTAGGCTGATGATCCGGCTAATTCTGTCCCAGTAGTCTCTGCACTGAATTCTTCTGATATAAATAGATTCTTATCTGAAGTTAACAAATGGTCTCACCTAAATGGTCTTAAACTGAATCCATCGAAGTGTCATATTGTTGATTTAAGTTTCAGATGCCGGATAGGTTTGTGCGGATTGATTCAGTTCCACAGATTTTGTAATACTGACGTCACTGTAATAGGGAGTAAATAGAATATCCCTTATCTCACCATCAGTTTATCCTCAAATCTCTGTTGGTCGTCTGACATCCTGTTGATTTTTAAGAAGAGTTTTCGTTTGACTTATTACATAAAGAAGTTGATACTTTTTGCTATAACTCAACCTCACCTCTTCTCCTACGATTTATTAATTCATGTATTCTCCCCACTCTACTTCTTTATTGTTCACCCCTCCTTATTCTTCCCTGGACTTCTCAGAAAGTCTATATCATATTATGTAGAACACTGAAGGCTATAGATAGCGTTAGTAGTGTACCTTTGACTCAACTGAGTGACATTATTGTTCATATGCATTTGGCCAAAGTTATCTTGTCTCATGCCGAGCATCCTCCTAATTCTCAACTTTTCCCTTGTATCCCTCTGCGAGGGTGAAACCAGAAGAAATTTCATAGGGATTTATACTCATGCAGCAAAATATAAAAATTCCATCATACCAAATGTCATACAGGTTTTCTGGGAAGGGAGAGTCAGATGTCAGAAAAGAACTTGTACACTTTTTAAATCAGTAACTGAACTACAAAGTATAAGCAAAGATTATCATTATTATTACTATTATTACGTGTATTATCGATTATATTATCCATTTATAATTCATTATGTTCCACTAACTTTCAGATTGTTCTGTGATTTTACTATTTTTCTCAAATATATTTATGTGTATATTTAGAAAAATAGCTAGCTAAATTGTTGCAATATGCATAAAAAACGCTGAAAATTCCACTCCTCTATGGCTATTATTGTTTAGAATTAATTGATTATAGTTATTATTATTATTAAGGTAAACTGTCAGTCACATTAGCGTATTGACTCTGATATGAAGACACAAAGCGTTGTGCATTCCTATGGAATAGTTGGCAGTAATCATAAGTGAGACAGAAATAAATGTAAGGTAAACGCCATCGACAGCTTTGCGACAAAGTGAATGACCCGAATGAGGTGTGTGCACATTCGAGACACTGTGGTCGATCCTGAGTTTCTGTCAATCGTAGCCAGGTAATTGATAGATAATCAGTGGCTCACTAGGGTTCACGTCACTTCACTGTTTAATCTCTGTTGGCTTTCAATATACCGCTTGAAAACACAGAATCATATAATGACAGTGGAGTCTACCAAGTCGGTGTGAGAATAGATAATCTCCGACGACATTGATTGACAGTATTGCTGTATATCGTGATCAGCAGAATGGGACATTGGACGCTGTTTCAGTGGCAAAATGGCCCTCGTAACCTGGATATCCTAGATTGGAACCATAATTGTCTTCTGGGTCCATAATGCTGAAGACACCCTAAAATAACTAATGCTATTACTTCATATGACTTGAAAGGAGTCAAATACCTGCGAATCAATACTTCCGTATTATAACTGTAGCTGATAGCCAACATCGTGTATATGAATTATTCCGTTCAAAACGTTTTTATTACATTCAAGTCGAATGTAAACTACAGCATACAGCGTAAAACTAAAAAAGAAACTTCAGTATATCTAATGAGAAGCTGCAGTCTTTGCATAAATGTCCTTGAGTCTCTATGACTTATCGTCTGAAATAACTCACTATCAAGCAGTTGGTTTTAAGATTCAAACTCTCTTTCACTTACGTCGTCTAGACCGACCGGCCAGCTCATATTCTTCCGGTATATCACAACTGTGGACCACACTATTAGTATAAAGTACGAATTTTGCAAGGTATAGGATAATATTAGCCTTATTATTTGTTATAAACCAATGGGTATGACACTGCTAGACACAAAACACTAGTACTGACTAATTGACTATCTGGTTTCAACATAGAACTTTGCTTCACCGATATGCAGCAGTTCGAGTCACCACATTCCATGCAGCACACAAAGCAAGGGAAGAAGGTAAAAAAATTCAAAATAGTGATCGTAAACAGAGATATGAGGCAAAAAGAATAAAAGTATGGAAGAACAATATAGTTTTACTGGACATTATAAATCACAAGGAGTGGATGCATATGAACCAGCCAGCCATTGAGAACGAGGGTTTTGAACCACACCCCCAATCGTTTCCAGCCTTTGGTTTTTACTGTCCCGAGGACCCCAACCAGTCAGTCAGGAAGTCTACACCTTCCTACGTGACTGGCTGGCTGGCTTAAACTAACTGTTGTGGATTTCATCGACTGATGAAGCCATGTTTTGGTTTGATCGCCGCCAGCTCTTTTCCAGCCTGACCCGAACCACCTAACATTTCCTGTTGTCGAGGAAGGTGATGGCTAGGCAAGCATACGTAAAACATGTCCTAACCATCTCAGTCAATGTCACTTCACAGACTCGTCTATTGATTTCCCCTCCCACCTACCTAGCACTTGACCGACGCCTAACGTCAATATTGCTCACCCTATTACACCTACCACTTCACACGCGAGATAGAACGCAGGCACCTATGATCAAAGACAGTTAGCCAGTCAGTCAGGCTTTTCATGTCTTCCACTCTCAATAGCCAGGTTTTGCTCACAGCCAGCCAGCCATAAAGGAGGACCTGCCGGACTGCTGAGCAGTGCACATGGCGTTTGTTCGTTAGCCAACCGGATATCATGTTCAATAAGCGACAGAAGGCGTAAATTGGCATATGCGAAACGAGACTTCTGTAAATGTACTCAGATTTCGTCAGCGATCAACCAGTTGGAGTTGGCTGATGCGACTTCCCAAATAAGTGAAGTGGTGCACACGCTCCACTGACCACTTCACTCCCTATTTCTAAGCTAAGAATGAGTCAATGTGGTCCAATCCTGTAGCATCATTTTACATTTGGCGGGAGCGAATCGCATGCCAAACATCCGCAGATTGCAGCTCAAGGTGTTCAGAAGACTTTGATTTGTTTTGTCAGCGTCTTCACCTAGAAGGACTACATCATATCATCTGCATACTCTAAGTCAACGAGATTATTCCCTGATGGTAACAAGTCAATCCCTGAGTCTCTAGTACAATGTCATGGCACTGTAGTAGTGAAGATTGTTTTTCTTGTAATAACTGAATTCTAAACGGAGCTTCATCATAAGCTGAAAAGTAAACAGAATCTGTGCTCTAATCTTACTGATATAAATGAGTGACTGAGGTTTCAACTCAGAAGTCCACACAGAAGTCAACTATTTGAAGTTATCACATTATACATGTGGCATACAAAAGCAGAGGATGACTAAAATGAACAACAATGTTCAAGGGAAAGAATACATATATGAGGAGTAATGAAAATTTAATGGATCTTGGAGTTTACAAAGAGTGAATGCATCTGTATCTGTGACAATGATTTTGAGCTATTTCCCCTTTCAGTCTCCAGTCAGGTGATGGTTCTCTTAGGATCTTAAGCAACTCACCCAGGTAGTCTCAACCTTGCTGTGTGTGGCTCAGGCCGAAAGTCAGGTACTTTGTCGATTGATGCAAGACTTTAATTTAACCGCCCGTAACTCATTTTCAACCTAATCCTTTGTTGGTTGAATTTTTTAGATTTCCCCGTCGATTGATTCGACCGAAGTGCTCGGTCTCAGGTTGACATGTTGGCTCCTTCTTGTACAGATGCTTCAACTATGTCTGGGCATTTAATTAGTATTTAATTGGTGGATGGTGACTAGCAGTGGAATCCAGGATGCGCATTTCGTCCTACTTGGGACTCGTCAGCTAACCGGATGTACCTGCATTTCCCAGTGAGTGATGATGTTTCCACCACCGAGGCTTGAACCCAGTGCCCGTAGTTTCAAACGCCACAGCGTTATTCACTAGACCACTTGGGCCAGGTACATGCAGATGACGAGTCCCAAAAAGGGCGAAATGAGCATCCTGGTGGATTCCACTGCTACTCACCATCTACCAATTAAATACTAATTACATGCCCAGACATCATCGAAGCATCTGCACAAGAAGGAGTCGACATGTCAACCTGAGACCGAGCACTTCGGTCGAATCAACCGATGGGAAAATCTAAAAATTCAATTAAATCGTTAATATGACCCGTTGCACAAGAGGTGGCTGTCGTGGCTCAAGTGGTCTAGTGGATAACACTTTGGCATTTGAAACTACGGGCATTAGGTTCGAGCCTCGTCCGGAACATCATCATTCAATGGGGAATGCAGGCACATCTAGCTGGTGGATGAATCCCAAATAGGACGAAATGCGCATCCAGCTGGATTCCACTGCTAGTCACCATCCACCAATTAAATACTAATCCTTTGTTATCTGTTACTGTTAGATGAGGAAGGGGATGACTTGGCACGTATAACACGAGTCTTAAACATCTCACTCGAAGTAACTTTGCAATCTCATCGTCTGACTTGCCGCCGTCCTTAATTAACTGTCTACTCCTAGCCTTGGCATTGCTCATCACATATTATACTAGTTAACTCGAGAGTTAGAATGCAAACTGTAATTTAATTACAGTCATAAACTATGATTAAGTAAATTCATTGGCATTCACTGTCAAAATCATGAAGGAATCCATCTTGTGAAAATACGCATCAATAATGTTTTTTATCGAATTATTATTATTATTATTATTGACTGCACCAGTTACTAAGCTGTGTGGTTAATTTGCTGAACTTCATCCCTCAGCCGCTCTCCCCCCACCCCAACTCTCACCAACGTTCCGTATCACCATAACAACTACAATGACAGATGAACAGTAAAACAATTTCAAAAATAAAGAAATATATATACAAAATTATTTAAATATGTATATGACAGGCTATTATTCACATGCCATATTCATATTATTATTAATAATAATGTTCTATAAGCATAGTCACGTAATTCGGGTCATTTACACACGTTGTACTGATACGTTCAAAGCTTAAATCTACCTTCGATAGTCAATTAGTCGGTTGATTTTGTTTACTGGAAAATGTATAATAAGTGTATATTGCATGGGTTTATGTCATTGAATAGACCTTTAATAATATATTCTCAGACACATTGTTTATTTTGATAACATTGTGAATTGAAATAATTGTAAACAGTTATGTTATAAATAATTTAATCTCTTTATCACATTGTTAGTTAGATAGACTTATATGAAGAGACTAAATTTCAGCATAGAAACAAAAGGTGTGTGATGTGATTTCCAACTATCGACTAAATGACGCTTGTATTGTGCAGTAGTTCAATTAGACCTTTGATACGGCTATGACATATAACTATTGAAAATGAAAGATATGAAGAGGCTAGCAATATCTGGTCATAGAGTTCTCTGGGTTAATGAATGAGGTTGTGGGGCCACGTTGATTGAAATGTCTGAGACACACACACATGCTACGACACATGATAATCTATCGCCTTTCTCGTCAAGCATTGTTAGATTACAAGGGTTTCATCATGAGCTGACATCGGTTAGAGAATCATTGAAAAACCTGGGAGGGAGTACTGCCAGCCAGCTGTTTCGTCCTCGTTTGGACCTCTTCATCAGGTTGGGTGTGAAGACAGATACTCGCCAAGGATGACATTGGCTATTGCTGGTTGAGTTATATCATGAATGGGTAGAAGTTGGAATTCATGGACCGGCCATTGGATCAGGTCCCAGTGGCTTAGAGACAGTAAACATAGATATGAGACAAAAAGAATAATAATATTGAAGAAGAATATAGTTTTATTGGATGTTATAAGTCACAAGGAGTGGATGCATCTGTGCCAGCCAGCCATTGAGAATGATCACTTTGAGCCATATCACCAATCGTTTCCAGCCTTCATTGGTCTTCACCGTCCTGAGGACTCCAAACAACCAGTCAGGAAGTCTACACCTTCCTGTGTGACTGGCTGGCTGGCTGGCTTAAACTAACTGTAGTGGATTTCATGGACTGATGAAGCCATGTTTTGGTTTGACCACCAACAACTAACTCTTTTCCAGTCTGATCCCTTCTGTTTCAGCTAACATTGCCTGTTGTCCAGGAACGCGACGGTTAGGTTAGACATGCGTAACACATGTCCTAACCATCTCCGTCGATGTTACTTCACAGCCTTGTCAGTCACCTAGATGAATATAAGTACAAAAACTGGTTTAACTTAAGAACTGATGCTTCTCATTATAACTGGGGGATATTTCAACTCTTATCAGGGAATATTATCCTATTTTGTGTACTCCATCATTGTTCTCTCTATTTCTCTTGCAAATAAGCGTCATTTTTGTGCAAAAACCACTAGTTTCTTAGCCTGAGCGTCTCAAGGTCAGTAGTCAGTTCGTATTCCATAGATGTTTATAGTTTGAAAGAGGATGAAAACTAGCAGAGATTCTTGTCTGACCATCTGCTATCTATATTTAATAATGAATTCTTCTTGAGCATTCCAGACTTAGGGAAACAAATCGCTGAAGACTGAATACCATTTCAGAGATAAGAAAAAAATATCTGTATGCATACAGCTATAAGAATTTTAGATAGAATCAAGTTACTGCCACCAATTTGTTGTATATAGTAGTTGATTTATTTGTTTAAATTTCATTGTCGTTCTGGACAACATCTTCCTTCAGCTCTGACTTCAATGTGATAGTTTGTCAATCAAAGCATCAACCAGATGAGAGAAAACAACAACACCCAAAAAGACATTCATCTGAGCTACAACAATCTCCTCCGCCACTTTGTGACCAAGTTATTGTAAAACTGACTGCCAACTACCTTATGTCTCTTCTGCTTACATCAGGAAAGCTGGCTGTGATTCATCAGTAAACTATTTTTTGTGGAATACAATAGACTCAAGCAAGATATTCTGTTCACTTATGTAGTCCCTACTTCTCAAAAGAACATGTGCTGAATAAAACAGAGTGTCCATTATAGTTCTTAAATTAAATTTGTACATCAATGTTAGTCGGGTTATTGATTGCTTCTCATCAGACTGTCAGATCAATTTTACTTCAGTGTGACTTTATATGTATATATGCACAGGTAGCATCTTTGGTTCCAGTCGCCTCCGATTCTATCTGAAGTCCTTGGTTAAGTTTCGTTTGGCAGCTGCATCCTGAGGATCAGATGGTCAGTCAAAAAGGATTAGCAACAAGAAACTGTGGTTACGATCCAACCAAGAACTTGGTTTCCAACAAATATGCAGAAGAGAATGAATGTAGATTGGAAAGACTCTAAGGTGACCATTGAGTGACATAAGGAGCAGTGCAGACCTCTCAAGTAGAACCTGAATGAGAAACGATGAGTTCGATTCACGTCCAACGAATAAACATGGAGAAGATCATGTGAGGTTTGGATTAGAGACCAATATTCACCTCCTTAATGTATATGTCAGCCCTAAGATGATCTGTGGGTTTGTTTCTCTCAGTGTCTATTCTTTAACTTTGCTATGTCCACTAGTGTTTTTCACTAATGAGTTTAATATTATGTTTCTTTTATTTATTTATTTATTTATTTATTTATTTTAATTACCTCTATAATTCATTTTAGATTGATGAATCTCGCTTACGCTTGAAAAATGAAATCTTGTTCAAGTTTCATGTAACCAATAATGGTGATTTAAATAACGTTACACTTGTTGATTCAATGATCAATAATTCTACTGATATCTATCAATTACACTCACAAATTACAATTATTAGACCACTATTTAAAATTCATCCAATTGGCGCCTTAGATTTTGGTACTGTTTTAATTGGAAAAACGAAAAAAATGGAGATAAAAATACAGAATTTAACACAAACACCAACATTTTGGTTATTGAAACTATGTAAGCGAAAATTGTTGATACACTTATGAATGGTAGGCTAATTTTAGAATAGTCTATAAAATTTTATAAACAAAATACGTGTAAGGAGAATGACGCAAGCAGACTTTGATTCTATCCCAAAAAGAAGATACTTCATTCGAGAAATTCTATAATAGCTTTTTCTTCCCTCCTAAAACAGGGGGATGATTTTTAGCCTTGACAGATTCTCTAGGTCATTATCGTCATTATGATATATATTGTCCAATCAGATTGCAGTAGGCTGTTCAAGGTCATTCTGATCAGGTATCAGCTGTGTGATTGCTGAGAAAAATAGGATTTTATTATGCTAAATTCCCAAAGTGGAATTATGCCACACCT